CTGTTGTACACCTGAGCACTAATGAGCCATGATTATAAGGTGGATGGGATGACGCATATGTCACATTTAAATGCATAATTTTCTTCAAATGCATCAACAACCGCAGTAACTCCATTCAGGGATTTTTTAAATGATGAAAAGGAATATGAAAAACTTTTGAAGTAAAGTGTCTTTAGCCCATTGCTATTTGATGGACCAGTTTTGAATGTAAAGGGTGCTGTTTTACGCTGGGAAGCATTCAGACATTCAAGTAGCACAGTCCAGAAATAAATGTATCACATGTGGCGCTCCTGTGAATGCGGGATACTCTGCAGAGTGAGAACAGGAATTCATTCCTTTAGATTACAGAGGCTGTTCTCACACCCCTTAGCCATTCCCACCATCCAGGATCAATTTGAATTGCAGCAATTAAATGTCCTCAGCCAAGTGTTCTGATCTCACAAATCACAGCCCTCTGGAGATCCCCAAAAGGCTCATATAGGATTTCCTCTATCCTAGACATCTCTTTTCATTTAGCCATACCACACACAAAGTAACTGTTTCTCACAGCACTACATGCACACCACTACTGGCAAAATTGCAGCTTTATTATGCATGAGTATTTTTCCAGTGCTTCCCTATTTGCCTGTGATGAACCACTTCAGCAATAAAATTAGTATTTGAAAAGACCCATTTTTCCCCCAGTGAAAATGTATGCAATTTCCCATCCATCCTATTTTAAGGCGTAAAAGCACCGCTATAATTTATACTGTATTGCAAGCAGAAATATAGGAAAATGGTAAGAACTGCTTTTTAATGCCTGGCTCAGTCTCCTATCAGCATTATTTGTTCTCTCCCACCAAATTGGCCAATGACCTTACTAAGATATGAAAAGGAATTTAATTGGAAGGCTGCTGATTTAAAACAATCAGCAATAAAAACAAACATTGTTATGGAGAGGTGGGTAGGAGTAGAGGAGCAATACATCCTGCAGCCATAAATAGTGTTCAGAATTCTGCATCAGCTATATCATAATTCTGAAGATACATAGCAATAATTCTGTAGAAAGAACTTGAACCTAATTGCATTTGAAATATAGGCAAGAACTTTGAGGGATGAATCCACATCAAATAAACATGGCATGCTGTAAAATAAAAGTCAGTACACATTACCAGGCAATAATTAATTTCTGACTAACTTTTTTATACAAAACATTCACAGAACAGCTCTTCTGTTGAACATAATGTACCCACTCAAGCAATTTTTGATTGTCCAAAGACTTAGGTACGTGAAAACAGCAAGCAACTTTCCCAGCATCTATTTTCTGACCCACCTACTTATGTCAGCACAAACTGGGCATTCTCCGTCTCTCTTTTCTTACCACCAATCAATAATGGATTTTTGCCTTCCTCTTGAAATGTTTCACTGCTTAGCACAGAACTAAGAAACCTGAGCCAAAAAAAGGCATTTATTCATTCCTTACAGGCTTTGACCATGACTGACTAGGGGCGATCTCTGCCTGCACTGTGGCTTGTCCCCTCCAGCACCCTCTAACACTAACAGTGCTTCAGAAGCTTCTTTTGAAACTGAGATTTCCCAAAGTAATTGCTGATACATATGGAGACAGAATTCAAATAAGTCAGCTTACCAAGCATGTATGCATCAAAGGGGATTGTGCCCCCAGCAGTTAATGTTATTCCCAGGAATTCCTCATCAGCCACCCCAAGGCAGCTCACAAAATTAAAACATCAAATACAATTAATGCAGAATGACATTCCCCTTTAAAACAAACAAACGCTGAATGCAGACTGAAACAAATACATATTCAGAGAATGTTTAATGGGAAATCATAGGTATGGGGTTATTGCTGGAAAGACTCTGTCTCTGCTGCCCACCAGCCAGATGTATCTTACCTGCATCTTCCTTTCACCTGATATATCCACCCTTCACTGTCATAGTGCCTTTGCCACACTCAAACATTATATCTCAAACAAATGTCGAGATTATGAACCACATTCCTAATATTGTTCTCTCATGCAGTCGAATATACACAAAAATCTGGAAGTGTGTTAGGAGAAATCTAACACAGTTTGAGAACTATCTAATTCCATTCAATATTTAAAGTAATAGTCCAAAATAATATATTTAGATAATAGAAATATAATGTTGATTTGCTTCATCACACACAGTGGAAATTTTCTCTCTCATTTTTGCAGCCTGTCAAAGCAGCCTCAGCCTGTCTCCACCATTTCACAATCTGTCAAAGTGGTTTGGCCCAGAAATATTAGCAATACTCATTGATGTGTAAAACTCCTAAGAATTATTCCATGTGGGTGACCTGTAGTCTGTTCAACGAGAAGTTGTAGAGGATGCCCTCTGCAAAATGTGCATGTGTTTCTACAGCAATTTTATAGACCAGCTTTATCCACTTGCTGATACACATAATGTTTTAAATATAAATACATTAACAGATGCATTAAATACATTACATGCCTTTTTATAAGTAAGTCCAGTTGAATTCATTGTGATTTTCCCACTCCAAAGGTAAGTGGATAGAAAATTGCAATGAAACTGCATTAGAAAACAACTACATCCATATGAGTGAAAAAATATTCTAAATAATAGTGGATGGTGCCAAATACCATATCCATCCAGTACAGCCAAAATGTCACTCGGCATTATCCATATTAGCATGAGTAAAAACAAGGTGTATCATGACAGGGGTTCATGAGACCTATGTTTAGCAAATAAAATAGTTCAAGAAGAAGATTAGCAATTTAGATAACATGGTTTGGCAGCTTCTTCAGCTAAATACCAGGTGCAAAGCTATGCCACATTTCTAGATAGAGTTGCATGTAACTGATGCTATTGGTACATGATTTTAATAAAACTGGAAAGTGGAAGACTAATCTGTGGTTGTACAGGATGCTTCCAAAATGGTTCAAGATCTGAAATGGAATGGTAATCACAGGACATCCCTGAGACAAATGCAACTAGATATTGCAAGGCAAACAGTGTTGTTCCTCTTCTACCCCATCCACTCCCACATCTTCAAAACATATTCAGTATTGCAAAACTTGTTCTCTCTACATCTGCCTAAAGCAGCATTATAATTAAAGATATGTTTATGACCGGGCAGAGTACAGTAGATATATGAGTGATGCTGCTTAAGAGTTCCATGTTTCAACCCCAGAGGGATTCATACATTTTAGCTGTTTTGGTTTAATTGATGGTGTGCTTGAGGGTGTTTGGTGAATGGTACTAATATGTATTCATGCATATATCAAACTAAATAAATAAAATTAGGACTGAATTCTCAAAGGCAGTCACAATTCAGCTTCCTTTGGGCACCATTTTCTTTGTCTTTTCCAGAGAGATATCACTATATTTCATGTGCATTTGCACAGATTTCCCAAAGGTTTTTAAATTACATTTAGCATGACATGGTGAGCAACTCTGAAACTCTCGCTCCCTGCATAGGCCTTGTCCAGTATCCATTTCAATCCATGATACTTCCACGCCCGCTCTCTCTAGAAATTATACCACTTGCCCACTCAGATATGTTGGAGACAATGTCACCCACAAGCCATTGCAATCCTTTGTTAACCATTAACGGTGCTCACTCAGGCCCATCCTCACATTCATTCACTATATCAAGGGGCATCAGGAACTTGGCCTCCATCACCAACATGTCCCAATGACCCTGCCTTTGACATCTGTGAAATCCATCTGACATTTGAACTGGGAGCCCACAACTGTAGAGATCTACATGTGCAAGTTTGAGAACCCCGAAAGCACACTGTTCCTGATTGTGTGGAGGGGCTCCAGTGAATACCTCATTGTCATCCTGCCTTGAGCAAAGGAGTGATACATGTAGTCATATGACTGGCAACTGTTTAAATAAAAATACATAAACACCATTCATTGGGAAAGTGTTTTGCTTAATATTTCTATAGAAGTTAATAGAACTTAAACATTTAAACATGCGTTTGTGCCCTGTGTTTTAATTACACTATCATATTATTTCATGCATGACAATGTTTTATGGTATTGTTTTACGCTATGCAAGTGGGCAGCAAAGTGAATTACAAATATTTCATTTATATCCAGTCTTTCTTCCATGGAATTTAGGGTGATGTACATAAGAATTCCTATGCAATATTCTATTTAGATCAGCAATGGGCATTAAACCAATGATGGGCAACTCTCAAGGGCTGCATGTGGCTGCAGTGAAGGAAGTGTGGATGGGGTGAATGTGACCTGTGCAGTAGACCTTCTTGTAAGAGACAGTGAAAATCACAGAACTGCATTTTTTAAATTTATTTTTTTGCATCTTTCAGAACCTAAGAAGTGTCTTGCTGGATCCAATCAATGGTCTATACAGTTCAGCATCCTCCCCCACCCCCAGCAGTGAAGCAGATGCCTATGGATAGTCTGTAAGCAGGACCTGAAGGATACCCTTGGGTTTCTCCTTGCAGTTGCAAGAAATAAAGGCTGTAATCCTGTGCCTACTTAGGTGGGAGTAGGCCCCCCCACTGAACTGAACGGGGATTATTTCCTAGTAAAGATGCATAGGTAAGAACACGACACATCTCTTTCTCATGTCCATTCCCAGGAGCCTAATGGTGCAGTGCTGTGCCATTATTCAGAAGTAAGCCTTATTATATAGTCAACGGGGCTTGCTTGCTTGCTAAGGTGTCCATGGGATGGGATCTTTCGGCTCCTACTCAAAACTTGCTTTCTAGAGAGTAAATTCTGCGGAAACCCAGTGAGACTTCTTGTTCACAGGAAACAATCTAGGGTTGTGTTGTGCCCCTCAGCTGCACTTTTCTAACAGCAGCAACACCTGCGTGTGACTCTCGCAGCACTGAACGCACAGGTGGAAAGAAATGGATTGGCTTTGCCTCTTTTCATGCAGAAATCTCTCTCGCGCGCGCACCCCTCAGAAGCCAGGTGGGGTGAGGGGTCCTTCGTGCTTCTCAACTGACTGGAGAAATGCGCCGCCCTCGGGGGGGGGGACAAGTTTCCTCAGGAGGAGCCCAGCCTTGGCGTCGAAAAAAGAGGAGGCTGGCTAGCTAGCTGGCGTGGCGGGGAAGAAAGCGAGCGTGGGAATGGGAGCGGCGGACATTTCCCCTGCTCGCCCGCCTCGTCTGGCGTTGTTGGGGAGCTGAGGTGCGAGGCGGGAGCAAGAGGGAGGGAGCGCGCGGGAACCCCTCCCCCTCCCGCGCTGTAGGGGGGATGGCGCGGCGGCGCGAGCAGCTCCACAGCCTCCGGGTGCCGGCAGAGAAGCAATAGCCGGGGAGGGGGAGAGGAGAGCTGGCGGAAGAGCCAGGGAAGCAGCAGCGGCGGCGGCAGCAGCAGCAGCAGTCCTCTTCCCCTGGCTGCTCCAGGCAACGGCGCGGCAAGAGCCTCTCCCCGTCTGCTGGCGCTTGGCTAGAAAGAGCCGCCCGCTCCTCCGCTCCTGGCCGTTCTCGGGCTGCGCGTGGCGCCCCGCAGGAGGGAGGGGCGGGCTGCGCTGGGCCACGGCGTGCCCGGCACGCGCAAAAGGAGCCGCTCTGCCGCCAGTGCCGCCTGGATGTCAGAGGCTCCTCGCCAGCCGGCGGCCAAAGGCGCTCCGCAGCAGCAGCAGCTGGAGAGAAGAGGAGGAGAAGGCGGCAGCGAGAGAGGAGACGACCCCGCGCACGGAGCCGGGACGCCGCAGCCGGCTCGCCCCGGCCATGGCCTCCAACTTTAACGACATAGTCAAGCAAGGCTATGTGAAAATCCGCAGCAGGAAGCTCGGGGTGAGTGGCGCCTGGCGCGCGCGCGCGCTTGCTTTGTTCCCCCCTTTTCGCCCTCGCTCTTGTCTGTCAGCGCCTGGGCGGCGGAGTTGGAGGTGGGGGTCGCCTGGTCAAGGCGGCGCTGCGAGCCAGCAGCCCGCTGTCGTTCCTGCGGCGGTGCTTTGGCAGGCGGCGTGGGGGTCGGGCGGGCGGGTGGGTGTGCGGGGATGGCTCGGCGGCTCCTCGGCTCCTGGCAGCAGCAGCAGGCGCGCTTGGATGGAGCTGCTGCTGCTGCTGCTCTCGACTATTGTTTGCCTCCCGTGCGTGTTTGCCCGCTTGCCTGCCTGCCTGCCTGCCTGCCTGCTGAGGTGGAGGCGATCATCGCGCTCCTGGGCGGTGCGGCCCGATCCCTGCCCGCGTTTACTCGGGAGTAGATCCAGCAGATTTCAGAGGCGCAGGGCTCCCAGTTGAGGGCGTTTATAGGGTTGCAGCCTGTTTAGTAGGAAGAAGCCCATCGGGAATAGCTGTCGCTGCCCACAACCGATCTCGTCTGTGTTAGAAAGAATACCTGCGCGCATAAGCGGAGAGACAATGGAAACCCATCACCTGTTAAACTCGTTTCCGCCACCTTTATAGGCGGCAAGCCTAACGACTAAGGAGTAAGTCACACTGAGCACAGCGAGACTTGGATCTGAGTCAACATGTGGAGGATTGTGCTGTTAATCACACACCACTCCCCTACCCCTGCTGTGGCGTGGCTGCCTTTCCCGCAAACAGGGGAGAAGGGCATCGTTCCCTTTAAGCACTTTCTCCAAGCCCTGGCTCACCTTCTTTCAGATTCAGCTGAAATCTATAACAGGTTGAAATTGTGGCTGTGTCGAAGCTCCCGGCACTGTGTTAACTTTGTGCCTGTTGTATAGTGTGTGTTGGATGCATTGCGTTGAAAGGTGTGTTCGAAGGCACTCTGTCAGAAGAAAAGCTTTGAAAGGTCTACAGGTTTCAAAATAGCTCCTAGCGGCCTAGAAGTAGGAGGAAAGGTAGACAAGTTAAGCAAAAGTAGCTGCTGAGTAGAGTGGCACACAGGTGATGATGGTAGGTAGAAAACATCTTTTGAGTTGTATGCTTGATTTAGTATAGTTGGTGGAGAGGATACAGACTTAGCTAGACTAAGCAAAAGGATAATGGTACATTGAGCAGATGGACAGGAGAGTTGGCACAGTGATGGATGCTGCTGCCCCCTGTGATTAGACAACTGGCCCATCTCAGAGTTTTTGGAGGCAAGGTTGGCTTCAGACAAAAGGTTGGAATCACCTGGAAAGGTGTATGAGAAAGTTGAGATAATTATTGGTAGAAGTACTTGCCTAACTTTCAACATTCACACATGCTTTAGAAATGTTACTTCTTGCTAGGAGCTGGCAGATACTATGACAGTTCCAAAAAGTAGTAATGATAACTGTCTGGTTTTGCTCTAAAATAAGAACCTCTTTAGAAATTTGTTAGGAAGAAAAAGAAGTATTGACCAGCTTGAAGGCAAATGTGGAAACCATGCAATAAACCTCTGATTTTAAGTTTAATTAGACTTATAGTTTGAGAGCAATACACTGAGATTTGATACGATACCATGGAGAGAACCAGTCCTGAGCCATGCGATTAGGATATTAGCCTGTGCCAAAAGGAAAACAACAGTACAATTAAAACCAAGGAAATATTGTGATACCTGGAAAGCTGCTTGCTTTGGAAGTCATGTAAACATCTGTCTGACATCTTAGTGGTCACTAAGGCTATCAGTGGAGAGCTGTACTATGAAACACTGCTAGTCATTATGGCTATATGCTGCCACCAGGATCAGTGGTACAGTGCTCTGTTTGTCAATCTTGGGGAACAATAGTGAGACAAGTCTCTTGCCCTCATGTCTTGCAAGCCTAGCAGATTGACCATTGTGGGAAATGGCTGCTGGAGTAGATGGGCCTTGGTCTGATTCAGTGAAGGTCTTCTTATGTACTAACACCCACATGAGATCTCCTTTTTATTTTATCTGTGTTCTTTGCTTCTTCTTCCCTCCTTTTATCTGATGGCGAAGAATGTAACACATTTTAATAAACAAGCCTTGATAAACAATTGCCACATCCTGCTCACTAAGCTTACTGGTTTTGATATATATATATTTTAAAAAATATATTTTTATTGAAGGTTTTCTTGGTTTACAAAAGTATGTACAATCTTTCTCTCTTTTTTCTCTCTCCAAGTAACATTTTTTACAGATCAGTTTCATTTGTTGAGACATTTGGAAGAAAAAGGGGAAAGAGGTGGAGGGGGGGAGGTGAATGGGGGTGGGGTCGGGTGGCGATGTTTCTATTTTACTTAATATATGTGGGGTTTTGTGTCAGTGTCGCTTGTGCAGGTTCTCTGCTATTCACTTGTGTTCCTTTGGTGGTGTGAGAGGTTGGGGTTGGCCTAGGGTGTGGTTCTTTGTGATTGGCTGTGGTGATCTTTGTTTTCATGTGTGAGTGGGGTGGGTGGGTGTTTTGGATCAGGTTAGCCATATTGATTTGTATGCTGTTGGTGGATTTTTGTCAGTCTTGCTGGGCTGTGTATGTGATAAAGGGCAGCCAGCGTCTTCTGTTTGTCCCCGTATCAGTTTTAGTTTATTGGTTAATTTTTCTAGTAAGGCTGTTTCCCATACTGGTACCACTGGTCCATGCTTACTCCTGACAGGTCTCTCCAGTGTCTGGTTATGGTGTTTCTGGCTGCTGAAAGTAGGTGGGTTATGAGTTCTTTGTGGTGTAAATGGGCATTATTGTCTTGGAAGATGTTTAGTGGGGCCAATTCTGGGGTGATTTCTAATACTTGCTTAGTTATTTTACATATTTCTCATATGGCTGTTGTCCAGAATAGTTGGATTTTGGGGCACTCCCACCACATGCGGAGGTATGTGCCTGTGGAGATGCACCCTCTCCAGCATACTGGTTTTGATTTTGAAGGTGGTTTATGAAGGCGATTAATCTTGAAAGGAAAAGTTCACTTTTGCATCCAACTCTTTTTCTTAGTCTTTTGCTGAATGACTACCATTTGAGTTGGCTTGGCTGTTTTATGATGACATCCTTTTCTGTTAGCTTTGTACTGGAAGGAATGTGTTTTTCGGACACTATTGTAGATAGGCTCTCTCCACAGGTGTCCTTCACTACAACACATACACAAAATCTGAATGAGACTTTTCCAATTAAAACCCTGTAAAACATGTAGAATTGTAGCTTTCAAATACAAATGGCATCACTAATCAGCTCAGTTATAATATATAAGGTTATAATGTATATAGCAACTCATGGCTACATGGTATTCACAGATGTTCCTAATAAATAAGTTCCTTGCTACATTCCATACTCTTCCTACACTAAAGATTCCCAATGCTACTGTTTCTTCTGTTCTTACACATCCAGTTTCTGCTACAGGTAAAGTCCATAGTGTTACTGTAAGCCTCTTAATTTATTTGTCTTCTGGAAACATAACTGCACAGACTTGCATGTAGCAAATTCAGCTTCTCTTCGCCAAATGAGGAACATGTGAATAGGAAATGCAGTCACTATTTCTTCTGAGGTACAAGTACTCCTATACAGAAAGGGAAATGCAAGTCACAACTGCTGCTTAATACGTTTAGGGTACCACTATGTGTTGTCTGCTGTACTGTCATGGAAGTGAAATGGTCCACATTTGTAGGTGGGTTTTGTTCAGTACCATGTGAGGTACAATCATGTTGTTGAGAGTTATTTGATGGTAGGAATTTTATACCCCTTATACAAAGGGCTTGCACTGGTCCCAAACTGAACCTGTCCCAGGTGAGAGGTGGGAGGGAAGTATTTTGTGGTGCATTGGCCTATTAGTGCTGCACAGTCTGTTCTTATATGTTTGGCAGTGATCCGTTGCAGGAAGGATATACGTGTTTTGTGAGTGTATGTGGGTTAAAATATTCTTTCAGTTTGGTGTTTGTGTCATTCTGCATAGTAATTTTGTCTGAACTTAGTTGTATAGATATGGTTATGATTATGAATGTGGTTATTGTGTATTTATGTATTTGCATTTTACTCAGTTTAAATTGTGATTGTGGTATGTTTATGTACTTCAATTTTTATGTACTTCAATTTGATTTTCCTTCTGGTAAACGGCTTTGAGATTTGAGGACAGTATGCAATAGATAAATGGACTTAATACTTAAATAAATAATATAATGTTGATAATGTATAGTAGTGTTTCATCTGCCACTGTGCATGTGTCCTAGAGCATCGGGAGAGCATCTGTCAGCACTGCTGATCATGTGGGTCAAATGACCATTGGATGTGCCATCAATGTTGAACATCCAACCAGCCTTTGCTATATTAAATACGCACCAAGAAGGGTTTTACAGTATTAAGAATATACTGTTTGGAAACAGTTGCCCTAGGAGCAAAGAACCTTACTGGGGTGAAAGTAACATTTAATGATATATTCATTAGTTAATCTGGTTATTTTTGTGTTATCAGCTGTGATCAAGAATGTTTTTCTTTCTCCACCTATGACTGTGGACCTTTTTGTCAATTCCTCTGGCTATCAGGAACTCTCAATCAGGGGTAATATGTTGTGGAAATCAGATGATATCAGAAAACTTAAGTTGGTGTGTGGTTGTGGGTGATACTCATTCTTCTCTGCATCAATATTAAGCATTACGTTGGTATCTTCCAAATGTCCATTATTACAACACAGACCAGCATTATTCAGGCTTTCAGACTTCAAGGTTCTTCCATCCCCACTCCAGGGCAGGAATTGGCACAGTGGAAATGCATATGTTGAAAATGTTAGTTCCTTTTTAATAATTCTATATTTTGGGGGTACTGATTTAGGATCAATCAGAAGATTTAATTTACAACCTGGTTCCAGTGTGCCCAGCAAAGAAGCAATTTCTTTTATATAACCACTTTTAATATTTCCCTGCTCTACATGAGGAGAACATATAACAGACAGCAAACTGCATGCTTAAGCTGAAACTGTTATCT